CGTTTCTTCCAGGTACTTCATCTGTCTTGAGACTCGTTCACACTAGGGTTGCCACCTTTTCTTCAAGAGAAAACCCGAACACTCAGGCGGCGCGCAGACATTTTTTGGGGAGAAGAAGTCGTAGCTTATTCATATGTAAATATCACAGTTGAGACTGTTTTCAGTGGGGGGCCAGTAGCCCCTGTCTGCTTGACATCTTGTGTCCGGGTTTCTGCTGCCATGAAACCCGGACACAGCATTCAAAACCTGGACTGTCCGGGTGAATCCTGGACAGGTGGCAACCCTAGTTCACACCAGAATGCGTTTATTGACAAAGGTTGCGTTGATGTGGGTAGAATACATGGCTCCTACGTTCCAGACGCAATGTCCAGCACATGCTCAATAGAGGGACATGAGGAAATACATTGAGGGAGATTTACTAAGACTGGAGTAGCTGTACATGACAACCAATCAGCTTCTTGCTGACAAGCTGAAGATAAATGCTAGTTGGTTGCCATGCGCAACTGCTCCAGATTCTGTCTGCTCCGGTTTTAGGAAATGCCCCCCATTGTTTTCAGTAGAGACTGTTCACACCAGGGGTAGGCATCTCCGGCACTGCAGGTGTTGTGAAACTACAAGTCCCATGAGGCATTTCAGGACTCACAGCCACAGTCATGGCTCCCGGAGGCAGAGCCATGATGGAATTTGTAGTTTTGGCACAGCTGGATTACCAAGGTAGCCTACCCCTGGTTTACACCCGTACACTGCTGAAAATAGTCCTATATATCACCATTCTGGGAAATTCAAATAGAGATTTTAACAACTTGGCGCTCAGCCCCTGGCTGCTAGACCAGTCCCTACAGCCTTGCTTCCCCTCTGCTCCGACAGTGTAAGGTCCATTTGAGGGAGTTGTCCCCCATTCGTGTCCAGAGGTATTGCAGGTTGTGTGTATGAAGCCAGCTAGATTTGGATGAGTCTCCCCCAGTGCGGGTCAGAGGTATTGCAGGTTGTGTGTATGAAGCCAGCTAGATTTGG